AAGTAAATGAATAAAGCCAGTAGTCCAAGTCGTGCACAGAGGCCGGGTATCTCGTGTTATTCAATATTCCCTCGTGAATTATTCATGTATTACCGACATACGATTAGGATGTAAGTCAGATTTTATTTTCCCTCTCTCGGTGGGATTACACTTGCAAATATTTGGTTCGTGGTTCCGTATAAATAACAAACATTAATATTGTTAAGGGATTCCCTAAATAAATTAGACAGAATTAATTTGTATTACACATGTCGTTGATTACATTATAACTATTCATGTACGTAATAAATTAACTGTTTTATGATTGTTCTTAACCTAAAAACTATTCTATTCTATAAAAAAAAAAACAAATGGATTTATAGTTGATGGAGTTCGGAGGTAACAAATATAAAAAAAATATCACTTAGCCTTTTTAAGTCGGTTAAAAAGATATCCAAACTAATGCAGAACATAGGTATGTGATCACTTATTTATCTTAAGACCTATTTATATGCCATATTCCACTGTATTCTGTGTATAGGCAAGAATTAAATAGAAAACAACCTAACACGTCGCATTTACAATTTTTGAAGCAAGCAACGAGACTACTCTCATGTAATAACCCGAACGTACAAAAACACAGCGTGTGATTAAAACTCAGAGCAACTGAATTTGCAATAAAAACGCACCAGATTTTTTATTTCACGTCACCTTGTTACTGATATTTAAAACAGGTTTTACGAAATTATTCGGTGGAGTCTCATTATTTTCCGTGAAGGAGGACAGGGCGTGGAGGCAGGCACTCGTCGCGCCGGTGTGTTTGTGCGGCCACCAGCGCGTAACAACGACAGCACCTACATTTCAATGCTACTTTGACGCTCACTAATTGGGATGTATCTAACGTTAAGTACTCCAAATGATTTCAATATTGAATTTGTGTTTTACGAACCGAAATTTTTCTCATTTTTTCAGTGAGCTAACAAGTTGTTTAACAAAAATTAGGATGCCCACAAGCCCGATTGCCTGATGGCATAAAGTAGGTAACTAAAATATACCAAGAAGTTTCGGTATTACACGGAATTTCTCTTTTGTCATGAAAATTAATGACCCTTAACCAAATATTTAGTTATTAGATTCTAGTAGTAGTTACTTAACATTTAATCGAAATATGATTAAATCATATGTAGACTTTGTTTATCTTTCTCCAACCCTTTTTCCCAAACTATTTTTTTACACGGAGCGACTGACATCAAACGTTCAAAACTCAAGTACGAAGCGATCACGAAGTTCTGTAGAAAGACTATTGTTGGACTGTTTAGGGTTCCAACTACCCGTATCGATGGCCACAGATGTTCGTATGGTAACCGGGACCGGCGACGGCTTAACGTACTCTCCGAGGCAGGAAGGCTCAATGTGCTATAAATTGTCACCCATCCATAAACTGACCTAGCCAGGATTGTTTAGCTTTGCCATGTGTTAACCAACTCGGTTACCACGTACCCTATCATATAACTATATACCTTTATTTATAAGTATAATATATATATATATAAAATATGTGCCCGGTTTACGGCAATATGCTACCACCTATTTAAGTAAGTGGAATAAAATTATAGTCGACATTGGTGCTAAATCTGTTGTTCGAAAACTTTCTAAACTAAGCTAAAAATCACTAAAAATTTGTTAAGTACTGTCAAATAACGTTTCGTTTACTGAAAACGTAGTACTTGACATGACTAAACTAATTTTTAGTGATTTTTAGTTTAGTTTAGTGAGTTTTCGAATAACAGAATTTGCACCAATATATGGACATTTTGATGCGTTGTTGTCTATTTCTGCGAGTATAAATAATAGTCGTCAATGGTGCTAATTCTGTTTTTCGAAAACTCTCTAAACTAAACTAAGAATCACTAAAATTTAGTTTAGAACTGTCAAGTACTAGGTTTTCAGAATCAGAAACGTTATTTGACAGGACTAAATTTTTTTTAGTGATTTTGAGTTTAGTTTAGAGAGTTTTTGAACAATAGAATTAGCACCAGTGTATGTGTATATATAGTAATTTTGAGGGTACTTCCCCTATACGAAAGGAGGATGTATCGTTGGATAGATTTTAAAAACATTCAAAGACATTAACATTTCACCGTTTTCGATGCAATGATCTATTTGTGAGTTTTTAACTTTAAAGTGCTGATTTCAGTGAGTGAATATTTATAACTAAGAACATGGCCATGCGATGTACTTGGCAGGTTCCTTCTATCATAAGCATAATATATAACTTATCTTAATTTAGCTGACTTCGTGTACATCTGCTTACTTTCCAAAAAGAGAAAAAAAATACTAATCTTTGAGAGAGGGTGAACGAAATTATCATAATCACGTTCAGAATATGAAAATCAAAATTCTCTCCCACAACCTAATGAAAGCCTTCGTTTGACATTCCACAATGATGGGCACATAAAAGTTCCCGATGTCTCCACACAGGCCGTAATCCTCATTCACATGCAATATTCATGGGATTCGGAGTCACGTAAACACACGCATGATTATTTTATTGTGACCTCATACTTAGAGACGGAGTAGAGAAATAAGGCTTTGGAGCACGAGAAGGTTATGTATCAGAACTTGGACAGAGAATAGCAATGGGTTGAGTGTTATTATGCTTTCTTCTAACAAATAATGTTGAAGAGACCTGATAGTTTTAGGATGAAAAATTAATATTTTAATATTTTTTCTGCTGAAGTTAACTTTCGTTATCGTATATAAATATTCAATTAAATTATTATTTAATATTATATTAATTATTTGTACCGAATTATAATATTGTTTTGTATAATTTTATTCAATTTTATTTTACATGTAATAAATTTACATACTGTATGAATCCCCTTTATTTTATTTTATTTTTCTGTTCGGAAATCCGGTGGCAAACCGACATGCACACCATCTCGGGTACCCCTAGTACTCCGATGTACCTCGGGCCATCTACGGCGGGTAGATGACCCCCTCCTGTGTGGGAACCCCCATGTTCTCTTTGCGCGCGCGCTCCACACTGGCCTACTTCTGCTATCCCCCTTTATTTCTTGTCTGTGCCAAAATCTCGTCGGATACCACCCACCGATGGTTATGTTGGACATGAACTGTGTACCGTACCATAACCACCATGTATCGTGTAAACCAAGTGTACCCCAGGAAGGAAATTTTTTGGTCTCTTGATACGGAATCAAACCACTCTAAATTATGTACAACACTGTGCTAAATCTTGCCTGTTGTATATTCTAGAAACATTTCATCAGTTTCTTTTGCTCCCAAGTATTATTACAAGTAAGATTGGTATATGTTTTAAAGGGCAAATGAGCACACGGGTTACTCGATGGTTAGTGACTACTTTTGCCGTGTAATGACGGATTAAGAATACGGAATGTCACTACGCCAATTCATCCCGTGGGTGTCGTAAGAGCCGACTAAGGGAGCAAAACAACGCAGGACACCAGCGCTACAAAAAGAGGGAAAACTTGACACAAACCCTATACCAACCCGTCTGGCCAGCGTGGTGTAGTAGGCCAAAACCTCCTTTCTAAGGAGAGGCCTATGTCCAGCAGTGGACTGTTAAGGGCTGTTGATGTGAAGTGACTACCTACGCTGGACGACTGCAACTCTAGAGACGTAAGTGCGTTGCTTGGGGATGGGCCTCTCCATTCCACGGGAACCTTAATCACTCGGTGAAAAGTACCGAAAGAATGGCTTAAAATTGGTTTTACCGCTAAAACCACTACCTACGGAATCCGTACTGTTAATCTCTTTTCAAATGGCACTATCGGTGTGAGTAGTGGTGACCTATATATATTATGTACCCAGTTATTTTATAAGGGGATGTATCGCATGTAAAATTTAAATTAACAAGATAATATTCCATTTTGTAATCCCATAAAATTGACAGAGCCAATATCGAAAGTCCGCCATTATTGAAATCAGATTTGTTAGGGAGAACAGCTTGATCAATATCTGTAATAAGTGAAATCTTTGTAAAACGGTAACAATCCGAGTAAATTGGAACTTGAGCGAGATTGACAATATCTTTTTATACAAAAATTTGTATAATGACGAAGAGATTGGGTCGCCATTGTGTACGTTCTCTGTGATGTAAGTTATTTTATAACAAGCTACTATGATTTTATCATTAAAAGGCTAAAATATTTAATTCTTCGGCCTATTAAAATTGATTTTCTGACAATTAGTGTAAATTAATATAAACTTTTAAATATTTCTAAAACTTTATTAATGAGCACTTTAAATATTCTTGGAAATCTCCAGACAGTCACCCGTAATCACAATAGGTTCGATTCGATGGAAACATCGAGTAATCGAAAGGAATCATCTTTTACAAATATTACCGCGATTAATCATCGATCAACAAAACAATAAGCAAAAATATTAACAATGAAAGTCGTCTCACAAAGAAAGCAGAGTCCTTACCAGACCTCCTACCTTGTTAACCAGACTTTTAATAAATACACTCCTATTTTTCTGAATACATATAGGTATTATTACCCATAGACAAATTGTAAGCATGCACTCATCACACAAATGTTTGTCCTGGGTGGGTATCAAACCTCTGATCAGCAGTCAGTATCACTTACCCCTACACTATCAGACCACTCAAAATCCATAAATATGTATAGGAATAGTTTAACGCCTAAACCTGAGGAAGTATATAGTAACTTAATCACATTACAATGAAAACTTAACAGGTTACTGTAGTTTCTACATGTTATTAAATCAATTACTAGGACTTGTAAATATAATAATTATAATAAAACTTAAATATAATTTTAAATGAACACTAAAACATGGCATTCGTCGAAACGTCTCACGATATATATATTTTATGGATCATCACTCACAGGGACTATAATATTATATGACCGTAAAATATTTACATCTGCTTTGGTAATACACCGTTTATGTTACGAGTGAACCGAAATGTATCAACCACCATTTGAATATAAGCCAAAAAAAATGATATGCTACCATCAATCTGGTGAGTACTACCGACACAAGGAGTAGCACTATCGTTTTAAACACGACGGGTATAAATGAAGAGAGCCACAGTCTGACCCGGCTTCTATTCAAACGGTATTTTTCTTAAATCGGCTGACATTTTTTATCCAATCACAAAATCGCACCTCATTCATCTTATTCACAAACCAACGGATTTTATTAAAAAATATTTTCTTATTCAAAAACGTTCAGGAATTGAATTCAAATGGAAGTAAATGATATTCAGTGATTAATTACTGTAGTCACAAGGGCGGGTATTTTGTTTCAGCTTATCATTTGTACTCAAAGATATTATTCAATGAAAAGTTTTGACAGTAAGACGATGCCGATGAATAGTTAGCCTTTTTGAAGCGGTACGAAAAATCACCCTAAACTAAGATCCTTTTTATAAACAAATAAAAACGTTGTATTTTTTTAGAAATGACCTATATCTCAAGTAGGTAAAATTTTGAAAGTTGGGTGATATTAGAGCTAGATACTTTTCCTTCTAAATTTGTAAAATATTATACCATTTTTTTTTATGTTGTTCCACAAGGGTAAAAAAAACATTTTTTTAAAGAGCGATTTCAAATCTGATTTTCCTGTAAAATACAAATTTAAATTTATTATGTACACAGCTTTTTCAGTATTTTATGGTATCTTTGCGTCGTTTAACTGTCTGCTTGTTGTCCCCTTCAACGAGGAGACAGTCACGATGCAAAGTTACTCCCGCGGCCATAAACGCCTGCATCTCAAGAGTTCCAAGGGCGATGCAGACCTTCGAGGTGAAAATACACACTTTTCATGTTCGCTACAATTCGCGACGGTTTCGGCACAGAGCGGTTGAGCAAGACAAAAAAAAATATTGTAAAATGCACAGTAGGGGATTTCCAAATATCCAAGATGAAAATGGCCACGTGGAACGATGGCGGAAAGCTGCGGCTGGTATTAGTCCGAACCATTCCTTGAGCTTTTTCAATTTCTAATTCCAATTTCTTAATTAAGTATCTCTGTAGCAATCGTAAATAATTTATTTGCGTTACAATTTGAATCATCACTTTTTATCATCGGATTATATTTTATATTTACTGCGAAGGTGCCAACACCTCAGGGCTCGAGACCTCCATCTATCGATATACATAAATCGAAGGCATAAATATTGACGACACCTCACTTATATGACCTTAAAATAACTAAGTTAAGTGTGGGGTCACGAGTTATTACCTAGCGCAAGGTCTATCGTAACTCTTTGAGGCCTGAAAGGCGATCGAAGCCGTTAAATCCATGATTGAAGAACCGCACCGCAGCCCTTCAGTCAGAGGTTTTTATCTTTCGTAAATTGTCGACCTCTTGTAGGCTTAGCACATTTTCTTAGCGTCACTTAACATCGACCTGTAAAAATACACATCTGATAATGATTTTATGTTCTTCATGTATGTTGTTCTTCTACATTTTATTTTGCTTCATTTTTGTGGTTTGTTAAACCATTTTTGATGTTAACCAACCAACCGTCTGGCCAACGTGGTATAGTAGGCCAAAACCTCCTTTTTAAGGAGAGGCTTGTGTCCAGCAGTGGACTATTAAAGGCTGTTGATGATGATGATGTTATTTGGGTACAGTAATAAAGTTCACATATTATATTTTATATATATTAATTCGTGCAAAAAAATCTTTGTAAAACTATCTTTGTAATAGAATGGAATAAAATTTATTACAGATGAGATTTTATAAGAGTATTTCAAATTAACGACCACGTACAAATTGCAGCTTAATGGCTAAGAAAGCAATTTCTTACAGGCAACTTTTGGATGGATTAGGAAATAGTTGAATTCATTGGTAGTTAAGGTGTGAAAAAATGTAAACGAATCATTAAATATTCATAAAAATACTAAATGTTTTATGTAAAAGTATATTAAAAAGCCGTGTGGTGTCGTGGGACACCCGATAGGAACGAAGTTGTGACGATCGAGTAAAACTGATTCGACACGATTTTAATTACAACGCCATCTATGAAAGCGGCTATTACCTACATATTTTTCAGTTGGTTTCTAATTAAAACAATTTATACATTGGTAAAATCTCCTTGAGAAATGATGTCGAATACAATACTCAACCTAAGAACATAAATTTTAATTTAACTGAGATTAAAAGTAATGATTTCCTATCTATTTGATAGATGGCGCTGAATGACTGACAAGTGACAATTCAAAATAAATCCTGAGATGAAAAGTAATGATTTCCTATCTATTCGATAGATGGCGCTGAATGACTGACATAAAAAGTGTCGTTACAACTTTTCGTGAGATTTTTTTCCGTCTAGCCCCCTTTCACAACGCGCGATAAGGAACTTCGTTCCAATATTTTAGGTTTACATGTAGAGGAAATGTAAAAAGTTAATATTTATCCCTATCATACTAGAATACTGAAGTCTGTCGATAATGGAAGTACATATATCTCACAAAAGCTGCAGATTCCCTCCGTTCGAACGCTGGATAGTTGAGGCTTAAACTCTTTATTACTTTTATATTGTTAATCTGACAGAGTGGGTGGGTTTTTGACCTCAATTTTTAAAAAAAATTCACATATCTTTTGATTTTCCTTTTTTAATTTGTAACGCTTACGATGTTACTGTATACAATATACAGTAAATATGTTATAAAAATGTGTGACATTAAAGATATATAATATTTCGGACAACTGACACACAACGCTATCTAGTTTCAAACTAAGCAGAACTTGTAATATGAAAGCTAGATTGACTGATGGAATTCCTATACTTTTTTTTAAATACATACATATTATACATAGAAAACATCCAAACTCCGAAACAAATATTTGCAAATCATACAAACATTTGGTCCAACAAACAGTCCGACACACAGTTAGTGACCGCCTAGGGACACATGCGATTGGATAGTCAGAAATGGCCGGCCTTAGAGGTATGCTGTTTTCTTGAAGGTCTGAAAGTAGTCTAAATCTAAAAAATACCATTAAAGGAAATTTGTCCCACAAATTAGTTGTATTATTCTAAAGGCAGAATTTATATTTAGTGATGATATGTGATTTTACTAAACGACGTATTTTTAATAAACTTAACGATACCATTGTTATCTCTATTGATTGATTCTCAGAATTTTGTTAACCTATCCTCATTGTCCACAGAAGTGCTCTACAGAATGGAACGCTATGGCTGGGAACATTTTCTGCGGCTCAGTACCGCAGCGATGTTCACGCAGCTGTGTACCGCTGTCGCGCGGCCAGCACCGCGGGAACTATACTGTCACGCGATATGAGGCTAGAAGCAGGTTAGTGTTTTTCTCTTTTAAAAAGACAACTCCCGCATTAGGAATATATCCCGTGTCGCGGGGGACTTTACAAACATACATGAAACGAACACAAAGAACACCCAGACTCAGAACAATAATTTGTGGATCACACAAAGTGTCGTCCCATGTGGGGTTTGAACCCACAACACTCGCTTAAACCACCGCAATAAAGCCAATATGTTCACTTATGATAGGATATACTTGTCCGTATGGTGACAGATTAAGATCACCTCCCCCATTTATCCTGTGGGTGTCGCAAGAGGCAACTAAGGGAGCAAAACAAACGCAGTACATCAGCACTGTAAAGAGAAGGAAAACTTGAAACCAATCCTATCTCAAAACCTCCTTTCTAAGGAGAGGCCTATATCCAGCAGTGGACTATCAAAGGCTGTTAATGAAAAAAATGATGATGATTGGATAAGCCACTACCTCCAATTCAAAAGTTGATTTTCTTGGATTACATCTACGAAAACTCTAGATCAAGCCATCAGCTGTACACCAGCGCTACTTCTTCGAAGTGGCTTTATGTAGAGCTAATGGATTTTTTGTCTCCTGCTGCAGGGTTTTTATCTACTTGTAAGTTATTGTACTATGTATAACTTATGTGCCAACGTCATCCGTATGTACGTACAAAATAAAATGGTTTTCTTTCTTTTTTCTTTTCAATCATGAAAAAAATTAAATCAAAATCGGTTCCTTAGTTGAGGAGCTATAAAGTCACAGACAGATACACGGAAACGCATTTTAAACCTATGAGACCCTTTCAGCGCGGGCGGCTAAAACGTAGGGAATCGCATAGTTTCAAACAAACAGTAACTGTAGTTATAACATACACGTAATATATAAATGCAACTAGTAACTATACATGTTAACTAGTTATAAATTAACGCGCACCGTTCAGGGAACCGTTTTGATGGCATTGCCGGCCCAAGCCTGCGGTACACCACACTCGGCACATGCGATAATTAATTTCCGTTTCATTTCTACTTATAGTGTTCACAATACATATATTATGTATTTAAAATTTTGCATTTAAACCAATAATATTTACAATAAAGTAGTATCTATGTTCTCAATACAGATGATTATTAAGTCAAATTAGATTATTAAACAGTTATATGAATACGCGATGAAAACTCTTTAGTAATGCAAAATTTGGAATAATTGCAGTTTATAGTACTAAGTTTAAATTTTCAATTAATAATAATCTATACATATATAAGAGATTTCCACGTATATAGTCACTCATCACGATATCTTTGGAACCATTAGAGCTAAAGACTTGAAATTTGGTAGGAATATTCTTTTCACCGAGTAGAGGTCAGCTAAGAACGGATTTTAAGAAATTCAAAAGAAAAAAATGTTAAATAATGTAAATAGCAAAACAACGTTTGCAGGGTCAGCTAGTATACTATACCTCACACATCTCACACATGGCCGCCTGATCCCAAACTAGGCAGAGCCTGTACTATGGTAATCCCAGACTGCTGATAAACATACTTATATATTTTTAAACACATACATATTATAAATAAATTACATTAGTATATTATTTTGGTCAATGACAAAAGCAGATAAACAAAACGATCGAAATTCGAATCCCAACCGATCTACAGACTTTAAATGTCAAAACGACGGTCTTTTCGGCGTGTAAGGATTTACGATAGTGGTTAGGTATAACTAAGCAATGGTAGTGAGATCTTTTACTATGGTAAAATGTTATACTATTAATATTTTACTTTACAAATAAAATACTTTTTTTTTTAACTCAATTTAATGAGAACTGTCAAATAATTTATTTTAGCTTCGGGCATAAGGTAAAAAAGCTTATCCGTGTTTAAAAAACCTACATAAAATGTTATTAGCGTGTTCCAAAGGGCAACAAAGTTATTGTTTATTTATTTTCGGCCACTGAAGTCTCACAAAGTAATATGCAGTTTTCCTTATAGCAATATGTTGAAGAATATCTGAGCTAAAAGTAACAATTGTATAAAAACAAGACGAAAGTACCTACATATCTTGTTTGTCGCAAAAGAGCTTGACTCTTTGTGAAGCTAAATCTCAGACTCCTCTTTTCTGTATCTCTTATTAAATGTATTCATAACGCGATACTTACAAAGATCACTGAAATTCCTACTCATCCACACAATGTAGTCATCTTGCCAATAGTTTGTTGATTCGCTTAAGTAAAATATTATTATTTGAATTTAGGATTTAATACAAAAGTATTTTCGTTTGGAAATGGGAGCTTCTCTCTCAGGAAAGCACGTCTTAATTATAATAATCATGTTCGCTATGTTATTATGGTTTCACTTACTTTTAACAGATTCTTGTGTTGTGTAATCACTGATGTTATTATTAGATAATTATTATTTAAATAGACTCACGCTTTTTGGTTCAATTTTTATTAACGCAGAGCATCCAGACTCAGAACAACAATTTGTGGATCACAAAAAGTGTCGTCCCATGTGGGGATCGAACCCACAACACTCAGTCTCACTCACTACGCCATCCGTTTATTATTTACGCCTGTATCTAGGTAACATTTTTTTTTAAACTAGTGTAGTGATTTTACCAGTACATTTTTACTGTAAGACTGTTGTACTGTAAGTACTGATGGAGAAATGTAATAAAGATTTGGTCACCCAGTATCAAGAATCTTGTAATATACTTCTTGAGTCTCTTGGTACACGTATATGTACAATATACTCTTGCATGTTCACCAAATTCCCTAGCACCCATTCCCAATATATCGCAAAATGACGTAGTACCTTCATTGGGGGTAATGGGAAATACTTCAGGAGATTTGCTCAAGTTAATCTGGGCGCACGGCGCGCCGGCCATGTCGGAACGCTAGTAATCCGAGGGACGAGCCGCAAAATATCTTAAACAATATACCCTAAGAATATAACGCGACAGACGTGACATGTGATTGACCTCATTTTTTAAGAAGACATATACAGATCCCAATTTACCTTTGTTCTTCTATAAGTAAGCTCTTGGTATATAAACATTTTTTGTATATTAGATAAAAATAGGTGCTAAATATAGGCCTTTTACAGAGATTCATGAAAACTTATACAAAGAAGTAGTATTTAATAGTTAGTGGGAGATTGTAGTCAGCAATGCAGTTGTGTTGGTGAACATAATATTATTATGAACAACTATCAAAAGATAGCGTGTGTTTGTTTATATTGTGACTATTATGTCTTCTTAATTGCATTCCTTTAAGACCTTAACGACCTTAGTTTTATTGTTTAGATAACCACAGTTAATTGTACTAACAAATTCAAACACACCAAAATATCTTTATATCTTTTATCCGAGAATTAATACTGCCATATGCCCAGTAGTAGGACTAATAATTTTAATAAAACATTATAAAAAATGACATACACAAATATAAATCACCGAAATCATAAAATTACGACTAGTAAAATTAATAGCATAGCAATTTAAAACAATAAATTTTATGATTGATAGATTTTTAGTTACATAAGTAATAAATATAACAAATCTTCTGTGGATCTGCAACCCAAATATATACAAGATTTTTATCAAAAGCAAAAGTTAATCTTAGCAAATATTGAGCATTAAAGAGCAGTTACGTATTCAAATCTTTGAGAAAGATTTTGGAAGTAATGCCGAGTCTGTATTCAGACCCTCGCAGTATTAGCATCAGATCGGCCATTACGTTTTGATATTGTCATCTTGATAACCGCAGAAGTTTGAACTTTACTTACGATTACAGAAAACACCTTGAAACTGAGTATCTTAAGGAAATCACTATTACAGTCTCAAATCTTGTACATAAGAGTGTTAAATAAAATAAATAACAAAATAAACAACGGCCATTACATTCCAATTTCACTTAATGTTAGCCCAATGTTTAATATTACAAAGAGTTTTGGTTGCGTCCTTAATGGTTATTCTCCTGCATGACCCCAAATCTTCTTGGAGATCTAATCATTCTCAGATGGAATAAAAGAAGAAGGTTTTTAGTAATAAAAGAGTTTAAGGAGAGGATCCCTTCATCAAGTCAAAAGCAAGCCAGAAGATCTCAAGAGAACGGGGCTGAAACTGCAGTAACTCATATATAATAATATGTTTTTCCTGTCATCGAAGACAAAGATCACTAAGACAGAGATATTAATTTAAGGATAAGGCGTCGAACCAAACGTGGTACTAAAGTTAAAATAGATTGTGTTTAACTGTGTTACGAATAGCTGATGCACAACTGTTATCATGCAAATTTTATCTGCTAACTTTAGATGAGTTACAACTTCTTCGTGATACATAATCTTTGGCCGATACCAATATGACGTAAGCTTATTCCATTAACGTCACCCTCTCACCAATAAGCACTTTAGGAAGTTTTAGGACCCCATCGCTATTAAATAATGTCCTTTCTCAAACAATTTTTAATTTTCCACCGAAATATAAAAAAGGTAACAAGTATTTTGTTATTTTAAAGTCTGGTTAGAACAATAAATATGTTAATGGAATCACTTGTTAATATCATCAAGTGGTTTAAGGTACCAAATTTGACAACATTCAATGCAGACATGAACATGGGAGAAATCTATTTTGTTCTTCTTTGTCAATATTATTTTTATTTCAAGAATTTTATAGCATCAACTCACCGATGAAATTCACATTCATCATCATCATCATCAGCCTATCGCAGTCCACTGCGGGACATAGGCCTCTCCCATTGCACGCCACTTAGATCGATTTAGGGGTTCTCGTTTCCAGCTCCTGCCGGCCATCTTCCGTAAATCATCACTCCACTCCACCTGGCCTGTGGGCATCCTACACTACGTTTGCCGAGACGCGGTCTCCACTCAAGAACTCGTTTTCCCCAACGGTTGTCGGTTCTGAGGCTAATAAGGACAGCCCACTGCCACTTCAGCTTGCTGATCCGGTAGGCTATGTCGGCGACCTTGGTTCTCTGCCGGATCACCTCATTCCTGATGCGATCCCTGGCAGGAGTGCCAGCCATCTTACGCAATTCGTCACTACACCTGGGCTGTGGGCGTCCTACACTACACACACCAACATACATTCGAATTCACATTTGAACCTTAATATAATTAGTCCTACTACGTTCAACTTTGAGTACCTTACAGATATACGTAAGTATACAATTTCATCAAAGACGAAGTATTCTAATACATTATTTCTCCGCAACTCAATGTTACTTGCAAATAGCAAAGAATTTTCCAATCCCTAATATAATCAAGACAACCTACAATTCTAAAGAGCATTCTTCATCCGTACTTTGTGCTATGGCAAATGAGTTCTGTTATAATTTTGTTGTGTGTTGATTTATTTCTTGGACAGCCAGTAGTTGTTACATTATTTACTAAATTCTAAAGCATGCATCTATTATATTAGGATTAATGCACAACATTTTAAGGCATCACAACTTGCATAATAGAGTAACACTATGTGAAACTAAAATTAGAAAAAACATCTATGTGATTTTAACATTTAATTGAACAAATATAAAACAAAGAATAAAATATAATAATATATAAAACAAACAAATAACAAGCATATTTCTATTATATGATTTTAACTTTGACTACCTAAGAGACCACTTGAATCATTTGCTAAGCCTAACTAACCTCATAGCAACTTTTAACAACTTTTTTGAATTTTGGGAGTGCATCGGCGAATATATCTACCTCCCCACAAATGGCATTGTATGCTTTGGACAAACGAAATAGCGTTGAGAATTGTTTTAGATTGGTTCTGGCCGGTGGCTGATAAAACAACCCTGCGTTAGCGAGGGCTTGTCTAGGCACACGACACGGTAACCTCAAGCCAAACGCCATCAAAAGCAATGGACAGTCGAACTTACACCTAATTACTTTATAAAGGAATGTCATATCATGCTGTTGTCGACGAATTGATAGGCTATCCATATAAAAGTGTCGCATTTTTATCGCTGTATGAAGGAAGTTGCTTTTGTAGCCCACTAGAAAAAGTAAGGTGTGGACGAATTGTTTTGAATACGTTCTATTCTAAGTTGATGTACAGTATATTGGGGTGACCAAACTACACAACAGTACTCAAGATGACTTTGTACGAGACTTTTGTAAATAGTAATTTTTGTAGCTGGCTGACGAAACAGTTTACTATTTCGTATGATAAAGCCAAGCATTCTAGACGCTTCTTTAATAATGCTGATAAATACTGAGAAACTTTATAACTTACTATGATGAAAATGAGATGAACAATTTAATAGAATATTTAAACACAACATTTTTAAATAATGTTATATCCCAGTTCTAGTTGTTTAACTACTAACTGGATGGTCATACGTAACTCAGGCTTCATCGAGCTGCTGCTATCTTAACCCCGTATTGCCATTAGTCTTACTTGTCACATTCTTAGGTCCAGTTGCAAAACGACCAAATTCCGAAGGAGAGTTTGCTTGAGAGGCCCCGTCCATAAAACTAAACCCAGCCAAAACCCTTCACAATGTTCATGTCCAAAAACAAAATTGTAAAAACAGGGAAGATGTTGATATTGGGTACTGTAATTTATTTTTTTTACTCATTAAATATAAAACTCATACAGAGTACATGTATATTCATAAATTTCTTTTTTACACTGAGTGTTCGACTGATAGGAATATAACGTAATGCTTCTCTTAACTTTATCCTCACACTATACAAACTTGTTGCGTTCACTTGCGGTGGACCGATCGAGGGCCTTTACAAAATATTTATAAAAGATTAAATTACTTATCGCTTTTAAAACTCAAACATTACTTTTCATCTAAACCTCTGTCACTTCAGAGCTTTAACACCCACCTACTAAAAATCGATTACCCTAACGGTCTGAAACAATCTACTAAAGTATTATCGAATCAGCGCCGTTCAATTTATATATTTGATTACGTCCACTAAACGATTCGAGGGCGACCTTTCTTTGTCATGTACAGAAAACACGTAGAGACGTGACTTGTGTGCTTATATTCAATCTAGAACCTAAAGGGATCGACTGTGACAAGAATTTAAAGTAGAATAAATGAAAACTGACTTGCGTGTGCTGAAATATGTCACTTGAAGTTTGTTGAATATGAAGTGACAATCCCTTGGCGATGTACGGATTTCTTGTGATTTCTTTTATGCTTATAGTTCGGTTCGCAAACCAAGAATTTTATTATTTTAGTAAAACTAGATAATCTACCTACTAGTACATCACCTTGTGATAAGCATTTACCTATACCATATTTAATATCATAAATAATAATATAATGATAGCTACTATTCTGGTTGGGTCCTGACTGGCTTTTAGCAAGATTTTAATAATAATGATAACAACACTTCTTACACACGGCTGTCTGATTCCAATCCAAGTAGAACCTGTACTGTAGTAACTAGACTAGTGATAAACATACTTGTAATTTCTAAATATATACTTGTTATAGAAAAATAATACCCAGATACGAAACAAATAATCACGCATATCATACTATTATTGTAGTGAAACTTCTTAAAAAACGTTGTGATTTGAAACTCGATGAAACGAAAATGCGTCACGATAAAGAAACAAACACATAAATGTATAGGATTAAGTCGGCGAGAGAATGAGATAGAATACATTGCACATTATTTTTAATATAATATTTTGACAGCATGAATATTTTTTAATTAATAACTTAATAAAGAAGTTGGTCACGTATCGTGCTCTAATAGAGGTCGTTCTTTAACCGTCTGTTTTGAGCTTTTTTAGAAATGGGGTTAGAACCTTTTTTGTTATTTTTTGAAGCAAAAAGTGACTGAGGAAGTTTAAACTAAATTTAAGAAGTTCCAAAGTGTATATTTTTTTCTCATAAAAAAA